CCGAAATGATAAATCCATCTGTGTGGATACGCTTTACACGGTCTCCTAATGGTCTAATTTCTTCTGATATAATTTTGTGTCCTCTTGCTGAAATAAATGGAGCCATACGCTGATGAGGTCCTGGTCTTCTCTCATCTGAGTATAATCGTCCCCAGAGAGATACTAACATATGCTTAGCTACTTTTCCTGCCTGTCCACCTTCATTCTTAATTATTGTAAGGTAACTTGCCCATTGATAGAAAATATCATGCCCGCTCATGAGCTGATTTTGCCCGAATATTAGAGCATTAGGACTTTCGGAAGATAATTCTATGTGAAGACCCAGGTCTATTGCCAATTGTAAGTCATAGTGGGTATAATATTCTGCAGGATTATAGCGAAATGTTCTTGTACATTTATGATTCACTAGATGGCCTTCTATATTTGCATGATAAATTCTATATTTCAGATTATAGCTAATAGGATCTGTGTTAATATGTGAGAATGTTCTAAACTCACCTGCCCCTATTGGCCAATATATGCTTCCATGAGCTAAGATGTTCGGATAAAATTCATTGAAATCTAGCTCAGTTGCAATTCCTTTATATAGTTCAGCCCATGTTAAAGCTCCCATGTAGGCCGATTTTATTCAATGATCTTCTTCTTGTGATAAATCTTTAGCTTTTCTAGGAACTCTTGTAACATCTTGAAAGAAACGCAAACTTGCTGAAGCATAAGTTCCAGTTGTTCGTAGGTCTATTTGCCCATTACTTCACCATAATATTGCTTCAGCTTCTTCATTATAACGTTTATAGGCTTCCTGAAGTGTTTCATTCAGATTGGCTTTGATTACAAACCAATCTCGTGATAAAACACGAAAATTATTTTCAGAGCCAGTCTATTGTGTACTTTTATCATAGAACTCAATATTATTACCTTGCTTTTTCCAGAACAGGAATCTCTGGATTGCTGAATACCATCTTGTTTCAGTATTTTGGTAGGTTAAAGCGGTCTCATAGTCGCTTTTCCCCTCCTCTTCCAACCCCGGCTCTTCTTCTGGTACTGGTAGCTCGGAAGGTTCGGGTAACTTGGGTGGCGTCGGGTCTCCCCAGTTTGGTAAGAGATTTTTGAACAATCGTCCTAATGTGCCGGTAATACTACCAAGTATTTTGCTCATTTTTTCCTAAAGATTATATATGGTTACAAAAAAGTTTAAAATAAAAATTAATTTATTTGGATAAATAGAGTTACATATTTATTCAAAAGAACAAACTAGTATGGGATTTTATAAATGTCTATATATTCTTAGGTCCGGAGAAGTATGCAATGAGGGGTGCTATCGAGCAGAAGGGTGTAAAGTTCATTGAAAATCTCCTAACCGAGTTCCCTATATAGAATACGGAAAATTAACTTCCTCTATTTATAATGCTTGTAGGGAACATGCAGGTAAATATCGTATTCGAGAATTTTATCAACGCCAAAAGCTTGCAAAAATTCAGGCTAGTGATTGCTACGCTCCGCCTATAGTAAACTATGAATTGCATTTATTATATGCTTTATGGTTTGTTTACATGTACTTCGCTTCGCTTCGCACAAAGGCTCCACTACGTTCCGCCTATAGTAAACTATAAATTGCATTTATTATATGCTTTATGGTTTGTTTACATGTGCTTCGCTTTGCTTCGCACAAAGGCTCCACTACGCTCCATTTATAGTAACCTATGAATTACATTTATTATATGCTTTATGGTTTGTTTACATGTGCTTCGCTTCGCTTCGCACAAAGGCTCTGCTACACTCCGCCTATGATAAACTATGTTTTGCATTTATGATTTGCCTCATATTTTTTTGATACTCAGGGCAACCTCCTGGACCTATTTGGATGCAATGTGCCAAAAACCATGCTTTATGGTTTGTTTACATGTGCTTCACTTCACTTCACACAAAGGCTTCGCTTCGCTCTGCCTATAGTAAACTATGAATTGATACTCAGGGCAACCTCCTGGTCCCATTTAGATGCAATATGCCAAAAACCCCGTTTTTCTACTACTTAGACTTTGGTAACTTATGCTAAGTCTGATGACAAGTATTTGCAAGCTGAAGCTACTACTGTTACCTACTTTTGCCCTTATGAAGTTTATCCAAACCTTAGCACTTACTATATAGACTATACTGATTTTTCTGATATACTAACAGCACTCTAAACTCCTAATCTAGATAGCTTGAAAGGAACTTGTGTTCTCTGGTATTCTGATGAATCCTTTTCTCCATATATACATAGTCTGATTAGTGTGATGCCTTGCCAAACATCTAGTCTTTGTTCAGTTTGCTATTAGATCTGATTGCTGATAATTATCTTTTACATAGTATCATTAAAGATCTGTACTACCTTTCCATTCAAAACTTGCCAAACAGGCTTCTTTGTACTTTAATCCCTTAGATTTAGCTAGATATATCACTTGGGTTTTATATAACTTATACATTATACTACTGTTCCGCATCCTCCTAGTACAAGCTAATACAACTAAGATTACAAGTGCTAACCTATCAGATTACATACAGTCTGCTGTAATACATTTTGTAAAATTTGAATTTTATCACCAGTAGGATTCAAACTCTTGTCCTATTACTTGAGGATGCGACAAGTTAATTGTTTATATATAAATCAACAATTTAAATTAAATAAAGTAATTTTTGCTATATAATATATTTGATATTTCTATATAGCCAATAATATTTATAGTATAAAACTATTGAAAATATTATTCAGTATTAGAATTTAATAAGCAAAGTATATTCAATTATAACAGATAATATTCTAAATATGAAAAAGTCTGTAGTAAAAGGGATGGTGTTTTATAATAAGGCTGTAGTACATATATATTATAATTGATTATTAACAGTCAGCCATGATATCGTGCAGATTATTTTTAATATAGAGTCAAATGATTGATGCACCTAAATTTTATATGTAAAATTTCAAAAAATTTTTCATTTCAGATTTATTTAATAATAAAAAATTTGTCTGCTTAATTTCTGGATATTGTTTTCAAATTATTTAGTATTTGAAGGTTCTTTTCATAAAATTTCAAGTGTGGTTTAAAATAAAATAGAAAATAATCTTGATCATGAAGTTAGCCTATTTTTTTATGATTTTTACTATTTGTTTATAAGTTGTGTACATCGTTTTATCAAAATAAGCAATTAGGGACCATCATTTAATAGACGGCCCCTAATTACTTATTTTAGTAAAACAATGTACACAACTTATAAACAAATAGTAAAAATCATAAAAAAATGTGCTAACTTCGTGATCAAAATTATTTTCTATTTTATTTTAAACTACCTTTGAAATTTTATAAGAAGAACCTTCAAATGCTAGATAATTTGAAAACAATATCCAAAAATTAAGCAGACAAATTTTTTATTATTAAATAAATCTGAAATGCAAAATTTTTCGAAATTTTACATATATATATATATATTTTTTTTTTTTTAATTATTGGCAGCCTCGCCGGTATCTTTATTAGATCAAAGCATATATATACATATATTTAACTATCTAAACTATAGA